GTTAGACCAATATTGCCTAGCCTAACCCACTAGCTTCATTTTGGCAAATCGAATTCGTCTCCCATCGGACATTTTATACCAACCGAAATAGTGGTCCATGTCTGACATCCAATCGATAAAAATCTGAGGATCCAACTGCCCTTCGAAAATGGGTGCCTCTAGTTTAACGTACTTCATATACATCTTCTCTGGGTCAAAGGGTGAATTGTCCCTAGGTGGGCGATTTCCAAGACGGTTGGCGTGAGGGTCTATGTATTCATGAGGTTGATGAGGATAATGTCCGGTTCGAGATCCGCCTTCTTCATCACGTTCACGGGGCCTATCCGTTGCTCGGTCTAAACGTTCCCTCGTCTCTCTCAAATCTTGTTCAACAATGTCAAATCGCGTAGTTAAGGCTTCTATGGCTTTTGTGAGGCTTGCAAGGTTGGGATCCGTCTCTGAATTGGGATCTGGAAGAGAATATTGTGTCCCACTTCGAGTGTGCATGCAACAAGTTAGTTTCTAGATGCAATCTAGAGGATCTTAATAATAACGATGTAGTGAATTGCTAACTAATTTTCGCCTAAATGCAAAATCAATTCTAACACCTAACATGATGCCAGATGATAATGTGCAAAACTATTGGAAAATGAGAAATCGACAAGGAGATCAATTCGCAAAGTTCAATATATTATCCCACAGCTTGTTACAAACTAGACATCAATTATTTAACTTGTGATAATTATAACGACAACAAAATTCATGCTGATAATATTGAGCCGTAAGATTGCAGCAAGATAATTAACCAAACTAGATTTGGAATAGTTCTAATTTAAAATCAAGATCTAGCACCAATAAAGGTAAAACAGAACCACACACACAATTTTAGTGGACAGCTAACAATTTTGATAGCATGCAAGATGAACCGATATAAAAGTGACTGCAGCAATTTCCAGGTCAATTAGGAAGACGTAGAATCGATGATATTAGAATTACCTTGATGAAGATTCGCTAACAAATCTCTGGTTGAAGGTACTGCAGGTTGCGAGTTGTTGCTGCTTGCTGTTGTTACTGTGTTGTGGTTGCTGTTACTCTTAGAGGATCGGAGAACGACAACGGAGTGGGTGACGTCAGCGATGGGTTGCAGTTGGAGGGTCGACGAGGAGGAAATCGACGGAATCGGGCTGTCGTCGACGTCGATTGGACGGAGACAGGAGGGTGAGGCGNCCGATAGTGGTGGTGTTGAAGGACCAGCGAGAGGCGCTGGCTGTCGTCGACGATGAGGCGGAGACTGTTGGTTGAGCTCGTTGCCGATAGTGGAAAAGGGGCAGGGGTCTAGGGGCTTGCGGAGGAGAAAGAGGAGGTGAATGAGGGCTTGTAGTCGGAGAGGTGCAGAAGTTGGTGACAGATCTGTCGGGAGAGAGATCGGGAGAAGAGAGCGGCAGATTCAGAGGTGGAATGAGCGGAGGGAAGAAGGCTGGGATGGCAATCAGAGTGATTGGGGAGGCGACGAAGGCGCTAGGGTAGAGAGAGTATTAGCCTAGGGTGAAGAGAAGAAGAGATGGGGTGGCGGCTAGGGTTCCACAGGTGAAGAGGAGAGGGGTCGATGGTCAGGAAAAAAAAATTAGGGAGTATTTTGGGTGGGTGAAATTTTGGGTGGGTGAGATTTTGGGTGGATGGGAAGAGAGATTAATTTAATCTCTAAGATTTTGGATCTGGCTCTTCTTTTCTTCGGATCTGTTTTTTTTTAACTGTGGAGAAGAATCCGGTTGATCTACTTTTGCTCTGATACCAAAAATGATTTGGGACAACAGAGTTTTTAGGGATTAATGGTTGGGATTTGAGAGATTTGGAGCAGAACAAGGAATTGGGGTAAACTAGGGTTTGAAAAGATAGCAAAATTAACAATTTTAACAAGATATGACCACGGATCGCAACCTGAATCTTGGCTTCACCACTATTGACTCAATCTTAGAGATCAAATCAGTTACCCAAAGTTTCACAAATGGAAACAAAATTTTCTTCAAATAATCATTGCCTTTATTTCATAGAATTGATCTCTTTAAAAATGCCTTCAACAACTACAAGTTCACTCCCATATCCAATGTGAGACTAAAATTATTGAGCAAATACAATAAGAAGAAATAAAAGTAATACTAGCTAGACTCCAAGCATTCTCAAGATCAAAGCCACATATGAGCTGAGGCAACACGACGGCGGCCACGAAAATATGTGCGAAGTGGAGGCTGTGCAACGTCCTCATCACAAATTCTTCCCAATAACTAAAATTTAAATCAAACAATAAGCAAAGTGGGAAACCAAGATCAACATTAGATCCCAAAACACCCAAAACCCCAAATTTCACACATACTTCCGTAACTGAAATTTTTAAAATTTCATAACTTTTCGTCGCAAATCCGCAATGTTTGTACATCATCTGCTTGCTATCAGCCAATATATACTATGGTAAGCATCTTTGCAATTTTGTAACCGCCAATTGATGAGGTAGAGGGAGTGGGACTGAGTTGTCGGGGAAAAATCGTAACGGATGGAACAGACAAGATGAAGGGCTTTAGAGTTTTCTCTCTTCTGAGTAACGAAAAAAGAAAGGGTAAATTTGATAAATTAATGAAAGTTAAAGGGTATTTTGGTGTAGAGAAAGTTTTTCTAGTACTCCCTCTTTTAAAGGGAGAATGAATTGTTAATCATAATAAAATAGTAATAAAATATTTTATAAAATAACTATAAATAATTTATTACATAATGTATTATTAAATTGTTAAATGCCAATGCATAAACTATTAACTATAATTAAACTTTGACAAATTATCCAAAATATCTTATAAATTATGGACCTCCTCAATTTCCTAAATTATATTTAGGCGTTCACTAAAATATAATTAAATAAAAAAATTTTATAGTGATAAGGAAACCTATGAATATGTTATAGTTTATGTAAATAATTGTTAATCATAATAAAATAGTATAAAATTATCAGTGTAATAGAATATTTTATAAAATGACTATAAATAATTTATTAATAATATATTATTAAATTTGTTAAATGAATAATTATAAATTATAATAAAAGTATATTATAAAAAATATTACGCTATTAAACATTCTTAAAAAAGTATAGTACTCAAAATACAAATTGTTTAAATATTTAGTAGTAAAATTATATAACTATTTTAATATTATAACCACGAATTACACTATTATTTAATACATCATATTGGATAATAGTATTATAATTATACTATATAAATATTATAAATAAAAACTATATAAATATTATAAATAAGAATAGTTATAACTAGCATATAATTTATTATAATTATTCTACATCATAGTTAAAAAATTATAATGATATATATTATGATATTAAATAATTTTTTACTTTTTTGTAAAAATTAATTATGATTAAACTATAGTAATTATCTAAAATATAAAAATTATTCATGCAATACTTTATACACAATTTGATTTATTAATGTGAGAATTTATATTATTACAAAAGTCACCTTATAATTTTGCATCGAAGAAAAAGAATTAAAAAAAATACTATGGTCATGTGTAAAGCATGTGTATTATACTAGTCAATAAGATGATAACAAATGACTAATAATTGAGCGGTAAATTTTAGAAAATAATTTCTTGAACTTCTTGCAAAATTGGGAACCTGCGCCAAATTTTAGAAATATCTGTAATAGAGTACTAAGAGCAGGTGGCCCCAGTCCAGCCTCGTAAGGTTGTTACCTAAGTCCAATAACTTGTAATTTCGCAAAAAGTTTCCTTCGTGGAGGGTTACAAGTGCAAGTATGTAATTTGAGAACTAAAGTTACAAATTACAATCTTTCAGGGTTTAGACACTCTCGAGAACCGATCGAATATTTCAAGAAGGAATAGGACAAACTCAAAGGCAAATAATTTCTCGGATGATTCTTTATGCTACAAATTTTCTTGCTCTGTTTTGTTCAACTTTATCTCTTTCTTAATTATATGTTCAATAATTTTGCGGGTTTAATTTTGTTTGTTCTAAATGTCATTGCATGTCAATTAATTTCATAGAATCAGATTATATATTCGTATTTATTTCACTTTTTTTTCTTCAATAGAAGGCACTTTTTAGCGATTCTTTAGATGGAGAAGAAACAATTTTTGGGTAAAATACGCTAAACCCCAAAAACTTACAGCTTTTTGTAGTGAATCCCAATAACTTTCAAAATCACACTAAACCCCCAATAAATTTTGCAGAAATCCCAAATATCTTTTGGGTAAATTATATTAAACCCCCAATAACTTTCAAAACTCCTTTCTTGTTTTTTTTTTTTCAAATTTATGGGGATTATTAGCAAAATGTTGTAACATATTAGGGATTTCAACAATTCCAAAAGTTGTTGGGGTTTTATTGCAACTTTGGAAACTTTTGTGGGGTTTATAACAAACCGCTGAAAGTTCTAGGGCTTTTGGCATAATTTACTCTTTAAATTCTTTGGGTAAGGGTTTATTGTTGAAATAGGTGAATAGGTTTAATTATAAGGAGTTATTTGAAGCAATAAGCCCTTTTTCTGCCATTTATTACAATATTCAGTTCGTAAACAGTGTTGTAAAAGGCCGCCTAGGCGTCCATTTGGATGTAGGCGGCGTCTTGACTACTTGGTTTTTGCAGAAGCGACCAGTCTAGGCGGCGCTGCTGCCTAGGGCTAGGGCTAGCGGCCCGTCTAGCTTTTGAGAAATAAAAGAGGAAAAAAACCTAATTTACCCAGCCCGAACCCGAACCCGAACCCGAACACATTTCTTAAAGTCTTAACCTAACCTCTCTCTCTCTCGCTCTCACGAATTCCCCGCTCCAGACCTAGTCTCGCCGCCTCCTATTCTCTATCTTATCCCCCGCCTCCTCTTCCTACCGCCTGAACCTCCTCTCGCCATCGGTCCTCTCGCCGTCGGCAGCATCTCCTTCGCCCACCGGTCCTCTCTCCCGCCACCCGCCTCCTTCCCGCAGTCCTCTCCGCCACGTACTCCTTCCCGCGGCTTCCTCCTCTCCCGCAACCCCCGTTCTCCCCTTCAGCCTTCAGGTAAAATTTTCAAATTTTTTGATTTATAAACTTTTTTTTAAACTTATTCACTGTTTGAGGTAAAAATTTCCCTTATAAACTGTTTTTTAAATTTAAATAGTTAATCTTGTTTAATTTAGTTAAAGTAATTAGTTTAATTTAGTTTATCTTGTTCAACTTTATTCACTGTTTCGAATTTTAGTTTAATCTTGTTCAAATTTAGGTCAAATTTATTCACTGTTATTCAAATTAGTTAATTTTAGCTAATCTATTTAATTAATAATTAGTGACGTTTCTTAGTATTTGGTTACTATTTTGTCTATTTAGTGTTTATGCATGGTTGATTATGAATCTAAGCTTGTTATTTATGTTCTTTTGCAATTTTATATGAACTTAATGCATATTTTTTTGTGAATTAATATAATATATAAATCAAAAATTAGCCAAACGCCTAGGCGGCTAGGCGCTAGGCCCCAGCTCGATCGCCTAGTCCGCCTATCGCCTTCTGTGACATTGCCTCTAACTATGTTTCAATTCATTCTCCAAAATGCAATTCAATTGTTGAATATATTTTTTGTCGTTGGTGTCAACCTAGAAGACCAGAAGAACATAACTATTTTGAGGATGTATGCATTATGAAAGAGTAGTTTTATTCTTTATTTCTTTGTTTTGAAACTTTGCTTCTGCTTTAGATCTGAAGCAGGGGAAAAAAGAAAGAAAAAAGAAGAATGTCTGGGACTATTTCTTGAAAAAATTAATTAAAACAAAAAAGGAAAAAGAAGAAATAATAAACAAAATTATACTTCAGGAAATTGCAATGCATTTGTAATATATCAGGTGGGCCCGATTCAGGTCCATAAATACAAATAAATATTTCAAGAGTTAAATATGAAAAAGCACTTCAAAGCTCTAGGATTTTTAAGCTTTATTTTAGGGCTTTAAAGTGCATCTCTCGAGAGCCAACCAAAACGAAGGGGCAAATGCCAGGGCAAATAAATTCCGGTGCCATCTTTTCTTATAAAAAATATTTCTTGTACCATCTTGTTATACAAATCTTATTGGTTGCTCTTCCTAGATTATATATTGAATAATTTCGTGCGTTTAATTCTTCCTTTTTGGCTTAGTCCGTTGAACAATGATCTATATTTTAATTTCTTTCATACTTTCATCTAATAGGATATAAAACAATCCTAACAATTTAACATATGTTTGAGATTTTATTTGAAATACATGAGATTCTATTGGGTAATCTAATAAATCAGCAGGCATGCAAATTATCTCCTCAAATTTAGTCTTCTATAAGTTACTTCTAAATTTGATTGAGTTAGATAGATATCTTTGCGTACTATGGCTTAGCATGTACTAGGTCGTTGATCTTCCTATGAGTTTTTGGTCTTTATTATTGTACTAATATATTTGAGTGTGCTTATTATTGCTTATAATTTTCATAATTCATACGCTTTTTTTTCAATGTTAAAATTTTGTTTATTATCAGGAAATAGT